CTCGCTGAAGAAAAAAATGGGAGCCGATTTCCCGCTCTTAACATAATTTATACGGACCGGGTGGGGCCCACACAGCAGGCGGGCGTGGACTAAATTTTTCAGTGTGATGCTTCGCATGACTGGATGAAACCCACTAAGCGACAGCCTTAAAGGGCGAAGCCTATATGAAATAGAACAAGAGGTTACATCTTAGAGCAGTTGTCTCTTGGATCAGTTGGTTCTTCAGAAAATTATACATTTTTCTAATCTGAGCAGATTCAAGTCCCAATGTCCCCTACAGTTGCCAGCTTTTTTTAATTGTCAGACTAGGTTTTCTCACACAATGTTCAATAAATGTCTTACTTTTGCATATAACTTGGCTGATAAAATGAAACGCATTTTCGTGTGGCTTATTCAGTGAATCTGTGTCTATAGCAGTCATTAAACAACAGGACAATGATCTAAAAATATCTACTGTTAACCTAGATTAATTGTGACTGGGCAATCCTGGCACAACAAAGATCAAATTTGTACATTTTCTTTTTATTGTACGTCTTTACTTTATACATTTCCATCTTTGCAGCATCTGTTGCGTTTTTTTTTTTTTTAATAGCTTTTTATTCATTCTGCATTTTTAATTTGTTAGAATATTTTTTTTTTATTTTGCTTTCTGTCTTTGGACAGGAAGGGAAAGCCCAAGCTTTTTGCCAACAGCCACTAGAATTGTGTAGTTTGATGTAGTGTAATTAAGAGCACAGTAGATTTTTGTGCCTAGCATTGACTACAAGAAATTTAGGTGTCATTTTCTAGCCATGATTTATGTTTTTTTCCCCTCAACGTTGAATGCATGCTGACAAGACCATAAAAATAAATTTATATGATCAAAGGTTACAACCTTTGATCATATAAATTTATTTTTGCTGTCATTGCTCCCTGTACAAAGGAAAACGGGAAGCAGTAGTTTTCATTATTTCTACTCCACCAGTGACGACAAGCTATGTTCTTGTACGAAAACAATCCTTACCTGATATATGGTCCTTTTTTTTTTTTTTTCTTTCTTTTTTGTAATAACTGACAGTATTTATCTAAATATAGGCCAACGGATACAGAAATTAATGCAAGTCAATAAACTTCATAAACTTTGAAATCTGTCTTGAGGATGTAAAAAAAAAAAAAAAATGTGGATGTTGTAACATAATGCAATACAACTTTATTTATAAAGCAGTTAAAAACAACACAGTTAACACAAGCAAGCATAAAAAACTAAAATCAACTGAAACCATAAAAGTAATGAACCGTTAAAATCATAAAACGGCAAACAGTAAAAAAAATAAATTAAACCTTAAAACCAACTTTTCAATCGGGAGTTAAAAACCAAAGAGAAAAAAAAAAAAGTGTTTTCAGAAAAGATTTCAAAACGGAAAGTGAGTCAGCTGTCTGACATGGAAAGGCAGCTCATTCCACAGTTTAGGGGCTGTGACTGAAAATGCTCTTGTCACCTCTCCTGTTAAGACTTTGGAATGACCAACAGCAGTGGATCTGCTGACCTAAGAGCGTGAAACAAAGATTGGAGCAGGTCGGACAGATACTGTGGGGCAAGACCCTGAACACGTTTGAAAACAAATAAACTAACCTTAAAATTAATCCAGAAATGAGCTGGGAGCCAATGTAGTGATTCTAAAACAGGGGTGACGTGCTCTTTTTGGTACCAGTTAAAAGGCGAGCAGCAGCATTCTGAACTAGTTGAAGTTTAATCAATATTGACTGGCTTAGCTTGACATAAATTGCATTACAGTAGTCTAGACGATTTGTGCATCTGCTAGTTTAAAATCTTTGTCCAGCCTCAGATTCAGATTAGTTGCTGTCTCAGTCAGATGCTATGTTCAAGGACTCTGCTCAGCATCACTGGGCTTAAACAACAAGATCTTGGTCTTTTTTGATAATTGAAATGTAAAAAAATTCTGTGACATCCATGCTCTGACTTCTGCAATACGTTCCAGGAGGTGGTTCGCATTCCAAGAGTTGGTTCACAGAGTACTGTTTCTTGTTTTTAATGGAACATAAATTTAGCTGTCATCAGCATAAAAATTAAAAGCAACACCATGTTTCCAGAGAATATATCCCAAAGGGAGTAAATAAAGGGAAAACAGAAGGGGGCCAAGTTTAGGTCCCTGAGGTGCTACAGAGGACTCAACAGCTCCAACATTCACACAAAAGCCTCTGTTAAATAGGATCTAAACCACTGTAGAGCAGGACCCTGAATGCCCGCCCAGTTCTCCAGATGAGACGGGAGGATCTGATGGTTCACTGTCGAAGGCAGCAGTTTGGTCCAACAGCATTAAAACTACGGTGACCAGAGTCTGTGGCTAAGAGAATGTCATTTTAAAAACTTTCAACAGTGTTGACTCGGTACTGTGGCAAGTTTGAAAACTAGATTGAAATGGTTCAAGAAGGTTGCACTTTTCAGTAGAATGTTAATTGGCTGTAAACAAATTTCTCTAAGATCTTTGATACGAAGGACGGTTTTGAAATTGGCCTAAATTTTGACACATCTGTGGAGTCGAGACCAAAATTTTTAATCGGAGGTGTCACAACTGCATGTTTAAAACTCGCTGGTACCTGTCCATTTTTTTTCCAAGCTGCCATTTATAATTTTGGACATGTAAGGTGTGGAAAAACCTCTTTAAAAAGAGGAGGTGGAATGTGATTATTTGGGGATCCAACAGACTTCATAAAACTAGTGATCTCTTAAAAAAAAAAAAAAAAAAAAGGCAGTGATGAGCTCAAACTGAAAACAGCAATGTGTGTGATAGAGATGAAGGGGGTCATAAGAAGTAGGGCTTATGAGAACTCTAATGCTTGCAACCTTTTTGAGAGAGGGAGAGAGAAAAAGGGAAAAATGTACAGGAAGTTCTCACACTTCAGTCGAGTTCTCCGGGCTGGCTGATTGTGGGGCATTAAGAACAGAGCTAATGGTTTTAAGAAGTACACATGGATTGTTATAGTTTGAGGAAATTATGTCAAAGACATGGGTTTTTTTGTTTTGTTTTTTTCAGCCCTAACAGTTGACTGAAAGAAATGCCAGCTGTCAATGTTTTGAAATAAACCTGTAATTTATCCATCTATAAACTGAATTAATTAAATTTTAAATAAATGGAGAATGTCTAATTTACAAATCTGAAAAATACAAGACTATTCAAGAGTTTGCTTGCTCTGATATATGGCAAAATATGTTAAGATTTATTTATGTATTTTATTTTTTTTCCCTTTTGTTTTAAGCAAAAATCAAAGTAATTAAATTCTTTGCACAGTTGTCACGAAGGCAGGTTCCAGAGTTTTTAAACTGATTTGAAATCCATTTAAAAACTTTAACATTCAAGTCAACTATTTATGCATTAGTTTAAGGAATGCTACTTCCATCGATGATGCGAATCTGCTTTTAATGTTGCAAATCTGCTTATGGCCATTCCCATTCGTCTCTGTGTGTGCATGTGTGATTTTTATTTTTGTTTAACACGATACGTCTGACCATAACATTTTTCAAAATGAAGCCATTAATTAAAAATGTTAACTCTGGTCTATTTTTTTTGTGCTTGCTGTCATATTTCATTTAACTTTTTTCTTTCTCTTTTCTGTTTACTTCATTTCTTTTTCTTTCCTCCATTGCATTTTATCACCATTTCATGCAATCACCTGGTTTCTTGCTAAATTAATTTTTTGAAAACCATTTGCTGGGTTGATTAATTGTGCTCAGCTGGTTTTATTAAATCCCCCCTCTCTAAGATGAAATTGATCAATGACAGTGCTGAGCTGCACTGTGAAGTGATAGGGAACCCCATCCCTGAAGTGCAGTGGTGGTTTATAAAAGGTGAAGAGTCCAATGAGACTTTCACCCAGCTGTTTGATGGGGCACGAAATGACTGTGTTAAAATGAATGCCACATACATAGAACATGCCACGAGCACCATTCACCTCACCAGTCTCAGCCTGGACGACACAGGTACATACGAGTGCCGTGCATCAAACGACCCTGACCGCAATGATCTGACGAAGACTCCCAAAATCAAGTGGATCCGTTCACAAGCAAACATTATTGTGATTGAAAGTGAGTTGCAGAAGAGGAGGAGACTCCAGTTCAAAGTAGATGACTGTTGCCTCATTAGTGAAGTCTTGGACATTTAGCTCCTGGTTTCCTGGTCCAGTTCCCTCTTCCATCCCACTTCATCTAGTGCCCCCCACGCCCCAACTTTTTCCCTGAAAATCAGAGGTAATCCTGGTTGTAAAACATAGTCTGGCTGCTCCCTAATCCTTGATCACCTGATTAAAAATGTTTTAATCTGATGCCTTTTTCCCCTGTGCATTTAGTTACCATTATACATTTTATTGCGACTAATACTGGTCATAAGGCTTGATCTTTGCAAATGGCTTCTGTAAGAATACAACTAGCATAAAATTAATAAAAATTCTCATTTAAAAATAAAACAAAGGGGTGTCAGATTACTGTATTGGCACTGGCGCTTTATAGACTTCACGTTATCCTTAATACTAACACTGTAAATACCCCTTTCGTTTTCACTTGAAGTCATTCCTGACGTTCACAGCCTGAAGTATAGGCACAAGATGGCAACTAATTATTAAACATGGTCTGCCATGAGGCATCTTTCTGCCTTGTGGCCCAGTATTATGTCTTGTTTTCTGAAGAATTACATAATTACTTTAGTGTGACTGTCAGCGTAAACTGCCAACGGGCTTTGTCCCCTAGTTGTTGCTTCCTCTGCATGAATTTATCAAAGGACCTGTAGCCGTGTTGTGTGTATTGCCCTCTATTCCCTTCATTCTCTTTGTGGAACAAGGATTCCTCATGTGGGGAGCTCTTTTCACCTTCTGTGTATTATCAAGTCAATGACTTTCCCAAAGACATGTTGAGTGTTAAGATTTTAATTGTAATAGTAATGGGTTTTGACATTTAGTCTTGTGCTTTTATTTATTTTAATAACAAAACTTTTTTTTCTTCTCTCAAGTCCCCATAATTATTACTGAACCTTCTGAGGTCAGCAACCAGACAACAGCTGTTCTCAGCTGCAACTTGACCAACCCTAACCTTCCCATCAAGGGCTCCTACTGGACACACAATGAAAAACCCATTGATGAATCCAGGTCTGATAGCACTGCTGCTTACACGGTTTACCGGTAAGACATTGATTTATTCAAGAGTTAATGGTGTTAATGGTGTCCTATGTCTTGCAGTTATGTGTGGACACTGTATTTGTAGCAATTTTACGTTTACATTGTCTTCTGTCTTCACACTTGCATTCTGCCTTGTTTTTATTTTTGGATTCCTTCCTCCCAGTCTGCCTCTCTTACCAGCTAAGTTATGGGTGCCACTCACTGCTCTTGATTCACAGGGAGATGAACTGTGCAGGCATACAAATTTACTCAGTCTTTGCAGCAGCGCTCGGAGCCCTTTTGCAATGTTCTCTCTTTGCCTGACCTTAAATCCCCATTAGATGGGAACAGTGGCTCTGTACAGGAGAGTAGCACTGAACAAAAGTGGGATTGTAATTGAAGGGGGAGGAAACCTGAAATATTTATGCAGACAAGCAGCTTTAGTTTTACCCTGCAGCTCTTGAGCAGAAATGGTTCTCTGTTATGGATTTTCTACTTGGCGAAGTAGAAAAACTAATCACCATCATGAAAGTAGCTTCAGCTCTGGCAACTAGTCTGTTGTTGCTAGTAGCTGCTTTGGTCCTAAAGAGAGAAATGTTCCTAACAAAAAGTGGCACACTGATTTCTCATTGTTTCTCTTCTTCAGTTTGGAAAAAATCACCTATCACAATGGTGGACAATATAAATGTGTTTTTATGACTGAGCCACAAGTGACAAAGACGATAGAAGTTAAAAGTAAGTTGGCAAAATTACACATTTCTTTGAAGCACTTTTCGAACTTGTCAGTGTCTTCATTTTATGAAAACTAATTTATGCAAATGTTGTTTTTCTTTGAAGCTCTTCCCCATGTTGGTGCTTACAAGCACTCTGAGCATGGCAATGAGATGGACAAAGGTGTGCTGACCTGTGTGGCTCATGGTCATCCTCTCCCTACTGACTGGGTCTGGGTCAAAGAGAAGGACGGCAAAACAACGGTGTGATGGCAATATAGAATATTTTTTAAAATAACATTTCACTGACTTAAGAAAATTCATTGACTTTGTCATACTTAAGTTCATCTTTTGCTTCAGCCTATTCTCAACGGCACTGGTGACCGATATGAGATCAAGAGCACCCCCAACAAGACCATACTGTCCATCAATGAGCTGAGCATTGAGAATGATATTGGAGACTACATTTGCTCTGGAACCAATGAACTTGGCACAGTCAGTGACAAGATCCACCTGCGTGTCCGCAGCCGCTTGGCTGCTCTCTGGCCCTTCCTTGGCATCGTGGCTGAGGTCATCATCCTTGTGACAATCATCTTTATCTACGAGAAGAGGAGAAAGCCTGATGAGGTCAACGACGGTATGTATCTTCTACATTATTGCATATTGTCAGTATTTTTATGTTAATTTATTTTCCTCCACATTAAAATAAATTCTGGGGAGATTTACATTGTTCTACCCTCTACCCAAAGATCAACACCTCCTATCAGGCTATCATTCAGTACAAAGTTTGAAACATTTATGGCAAAGTTTGTCCTTTACAGAGAGCTGAAACGACTAGCTGCATGTGTACAGCTTAAAACTGGTGGTGGTAGAGGTTTTGGCATTATTTACATTTTTAGAAATGTAGCTCATGAGTTGGCTTCCACTACTGTGTAAACAATCTTATAGAACAATATATATTTTTACTTTCTTTATTTACATTTATGACTTCTCTGTTCGCTGCTGATTTTGCATTTTGGTAAGTGAACAAAACTGCATGTCAGACTGAAGTGGTTGAGCTGAGATGACGGCCTAGAAAAGCTATGGGAGTCTGAATGAACTGCTTTCATAGTAACCACTTCTAAGAGAAATGTGCTCAAAGATTTGGTCACTCTTTCACTGGCGCTGAATGTTAATACAAAGCAAGCTTCAGTTATTCACTTTCACGTTCTGGCGCTTAAAATCATTGTTTTGAGCCATTGAAAGAGTCTGAGGCACGCAAGTTAGTGTCATGGTTTGACATGGGGTAGGTGAAGGATTTCAGCGTTTGCATGCTTTCTGCATCTTGTAGCTTATGCATGAAAAATGTCAGGCAACTCACTTCTCAGGGTCGACATGCCATTTCTCATTCATCACTTGGCCTCAAAGGAAATTTACCTTTTTTTGCGTTCTCTTGTGAAAACATGCTCTTTCTCAGGTGTGAATTCTGCCACATTACATTGTCAGGATGTCTGTTAGCTGCCATTTTAACTTATGTTTGTTAATACAGCCGTTGGAGTGTGTTCTTTGTATTTTGCTTGTATTGCATGAGCCTTTGTGATGCTTAAGGTTGACGGTGTATTAAAATATTTACGAGTGGTACTTTTTAAATTTTGTAGCAAAGCATTAAAATTGTCAACCAGCTGGTAACAATTTTATTTTCAAGAACACAATGTTGGGTTTGGATTTTAAACAAATGTATCTTCTAGAAGTTTGTCCAACAGTGCCTGGTGGACACGTCTGTTTGTAATTTGATCATAATCTCATTGTGCTCACATTGAACATGTACTCCCATTGATCTGTGATGAACTCTTCTCTTTTCTTACAGATGATGACTCAGGATCTGCTCCTCTGTAAGTATGGTCAACAGTTTTTGTACGTTTTGTCATTTTAGCCCGTTGTCAGCGCTCATGTTGTCTTTCAGGAAGAGCAACTCCACCGCCAACCACAAGGACAAGAATGTGAGGCAAAGGAATTCAAACTAAAAGCTGAAGGTGTGTGGAAATCAATACAATTATTGGTGTTAAACTGTGGAGCGGACTACAAATCGATTAAAAACCCATGTACAAACCTCAAATTAAAAACTAAAAGATTGTTCACAAGTTACAGGGAGAAAGAATGAACACAAATATGGAGTAAGATGTTGTGATTTTGTATATTTTAGTACAATTGGAACATAAATGGTATGGTACGTATATTTGGGCAGCTGTGGCTGAGTGTTTAGCGCAGTCGTCCAATAGGAGAGTTGGGGGTTCGATTCCACCAGCAGTCACTTGTTGAAGTGTCCCTGGGCAAGACACTGAACCCCTCATTGTCTCTGTGTCCCATCAGTGTATGAATGTGAAAAAGCACTAATTATTCTTTGTATAGATCTAGTAGAGTGCTGTGTGAATGGTAGAAAGGTGATATAAGTACAGTCCATTTACCAAATATTATATATTGCATACTAATGGAAAAGTATATTGGTAATTACATCTGATGTGTACGTTTACTTTTCATGCCTGAAAGTTTAAGGATGTTGGCATATATTTTTGTTTTATCAATTATTTGAGGGGTTGTGTGCATTTTGTGTACATTATACTACAAGTAGTCCTTGCATATCAACACATCTGAATACTGAGCTATCAATGCAATATTGATAAATGGGTTGGAGATGAGGTAGAGGTAGCCGACTTGAGACCAGAAAGTCACAGTTTGACTCCCAGCCTTTCTCGCATGTCGTGGTGTCTCTGAGCAAGACACCTAATCTCTAATTGCTCCCCAGGTGCTTGCATAGCTGCCCACTGCTCCACCTGGGTGTATCTCAGGTGCGATGGGTTAAACGCAGAGAACTAATGTTGCCATTATGTTGACATAAAATGATGGCAACACAGCAATTTACTTAATGTGTGTAAGAGAAAATGTTAACTATTAACTGAGGGTATGATTAAAGTCATCGTACTCTTTGAACTGAACAGATGCCGTTTATTATTGTGTTGTACTGTTTTAATGTGATAAGTGAAATGGTTCTTTAAGAACGAAGTTGATAAAACTGACTCGTGTTTTGACTGGACTAAAATGTATTATCGACGTGTGTCTGTGTGAAATTTGATTTAATTTTTTATTATTCCTAGATGGATATTCAGTGGGCACTCCAGGATTCAGCTGTCATGTGGCTCAATATTACTGCGCACCCTGCAATTTGAAGTTCCTTTTTTGTGCTTGGGTGTAAATGTTTTAGGAAAAATAAAATTTCCTCTTTCAATGCTATGTTCTTCACATCACACAGCCAGGATCACGGTGCGGAGGGGAAAGAAAAAAAATTCTGCTTGAGATCATATTGCATGAGTTTCTAAGATGTTCTAGCCAAAAGTGTGTGTTGCTGTAAAATCATTAGAATGGTTTACTGCAGATTGCTTAGTCTATGATCTTCTGTTTTTTGCTGATGTTCCTCGCACTGATCTCAGTTGTCAATAGTACCGTAGTTTTTTTTTTTTTTTTTTTTTTTTTAATCCTGTGTGAGATGGCTTCTTGTAAAATGGCACAAGCTTTGTTTCCAGGATGTGGAATGCTTTTGATCTTTATAAATCCCTGCCATATTGGGAGGGCACATTGAAGTTCAGATCTACTGAGCAATCTGAATTTCAGTGCATTTTGCCTTAAATCCCATTTCTCATCTTTTTTGGATTTGGTTTATCCCAATAAAAGATAAAAAGCTGACATTAAATAAAATGCTAAGAATGTCCAAGTTTTCTTAGTCTTTAGTTGGGGGGGGGGGTTATTCATGGAAGATTTTTTATTTTATTTTATTTACGAGTATTTTTATTTTTTAATGATATTTACATTCAGTGGATTCCTTCGGACCAAGTGAAAGAACTGCAACTGTTTCATCCATGGATTACAACTATATTCAGGTGAACGTCTAAAACTTCTGGAATAAAAATATGCATTGGATTTTAATTTTTTTTTTTATCCCTCATGGTCTCACCTGAAACACTTGTGTCCAGTGTCTCAACAGCTGTTTGGTTTATTCACTGTAGATAATTCAAAAGCCATATATTCTATTTAACCCAAGTAGTGTTGTGATTAAATGTTACACTTTAGAGTTGTAAAATTTAAAGACCAGGTCAGTGTTGTGTAAAATGGTTGTACGCTTTTTTATTCTTACAAATATGGAAAACCATCTCATGTACAACTTGCACAAACTGAAATAAAGGTATATCGACAAATGGTTTTTCTTTGATCATGTATTTTTAGTAAAAAGTGACTAGTCCTTTCTTTGTAGAATTTAAGTAAATAAATCCTACTCAAATGCTTTGCTGTTGGAATTAATTTCCAAAAGATACTTTTTAAAAGTACAATAATTTGCTGTCTGTTACTTGGTCACAGTAAAATGTGGAACTGGTGCCCCTTTCAGCCTAGGTTTTAAAGGATGGTCAGATTTTTCATGTGAAGTTCTGCCAAGTTTTGAGTAGTTCATATCAGAAGAGCAGTGACGTCCTAAAAGCATGAAGTGTGAAGAGTTACTGAAAATCAGCCCAAAACGGATGGTTTTGTTCTTTAGTGGTCTGCGTTCATTTTTAGAAGAACTAATGTTACTTCAAAATTCATGCCCAATAATCCAGGTATAAATCACACAAGTCCAGTCAGGTCATCTGGATGGTTTATTTTTTGCTGAGATGTTTCATCCTTCAAAGATAAATCTATGTAAAAAGAAGGAAACCATCTCTTAACAGAGGAGGAGGTCTCAGATTTCAACTTTCAGAAACGTGTCTAATGCAGCTGTAGGACTGATACCCAGCCAGTTTCACACCTATCGGGAACAGAGGGGCCTCCTCTGTGAATTACGATGAACAAAGACCTTAAAGCCCTACTGTGGTGTGATTGTCAATCTACATACAGGTATGTATCATCTCAGCTTTATGACCTGAACCCCACACACTGCTCTTTGAATTGAGAAAGCTCCTCAGGTAGAAGCAAAACTTCTGTTACAAATAAAGTCCACTTGTTTTTGTCTTGAACATTTTTGAATTTACCATGTCCTGGATGACTGAGGATCTTCACCAGCGTGTCCTTCAAAGAATTTCATCCAATGAGACACGGAGTCCCACAAGCAGCACACTTGCATAGAGGAAAAAACCCAGTTTGCTGGTGGTAAGATGTTTCCGGGGCCCACCCTCTGCTGTCATCTCCTCTGAGAACTGATTAGATATTGATATAGCAGAGTATGAATGGGTAAATGAGATTATAGTGTGAAGATCTTGAGATGGAAAGGTGCCATAAGTATAGTCCATTTACCATACCTTTTAAAATACATAAGTTGTGTTGTATGCATTATGTTTTTAGAAAATCCAAAATACGTTACAAAAGAAAATTAAAGTGTTCAAATTTATTTGTGTCCATATTTATAAAACTACCTGTAGTAAAATGATTCAATTCAGTTTATATAGCGCCAAGTCACAAAGTCGTCTCAGGGCACTGAACAGAAACTGCTTTTAAGTTTAACTCCATCTCAGAACGCTCATCTTGAGCAAGCCTGAAGGCGACAGTGGAAAGGAAAAACTCCCTCGTGAGGAAGAAACCTTTAGCAGAACCAGGCTCGGGACAAGTGACCATCTACTTCGACCGGCTGGGTTTGAGAGGAACAGATACACAATGGCAGGTCAAGAATCACATGTTAAGATAGAAATAGTATCAAATGAAAACTATTCAATTTTAACAAATAATTTAAGGAAATGAGGTCAGTTTGTCCTCCAGTAGTGTAAGCTTAAGGCAGCATAACAAGCCATCCCTGTACGATTTATCAAAAAGGAAAGTTTTAAGCCCAGTCTTAAAACTGGACAATGTGTCAGCCTCGCCACAAGACAAAATAAGTTGAAATAGAAATAAAACTATATTGCAGCCCAATGCTTTAAAACGAATGAATATAAAAAGTGAACATTTTAAATCTCCATCTTTCTTATTTTTTCTCTAACGTGTCTGTCTTTATTTTTAAAGGCATTTACTTTTGTTGCTGTACGTTTCTACAATTTAAAAATGATCATTCATTCAACCTTTATTTATACAGGTAAATCTCATTGAGCCTCGAGGACTCATTTACAAGAGAGACCTGATTTCAACAAAGAAAGATGACAACAATGGACAACAGCGCCAACAATAAACAGTTATAAAAAGTCATACTTTTTATTTTTAACAAGTAGGATGGCAAAAAAAAAAAAAAAAGTAAAAAGAAAAGTAACAAAAAACAGCTAAGATGAATGTAGAAAACAGACTTGTAGAAAACTTGTAGAACACTTAAACTTAAAAATCAAGCAGAAATGTTTGTTGGGTTTTACAACAAAATGGAAATAACCTGCTAAAGCACAAATTCCCAATGTCATTTCAAATAGGCTTTTATTATTATTGAGGTATGGGTGTTTTGGGGTCCAAGTTACAAGTCACGTGTATTGGTCTTCAAACTGCAATTTCCATATTTTTTCACTAGATAGAGCCATTTGACCAGAATAATCCCTGCGCCTGGAGACGAGAGTAGCTTCAGCTCAGCAACAGGCTGGTTCCTGAACACATCACAGCCATGTAGTGTAGAAAGCGTAGGTAAAATAGTTACTGGTTACTTTGTTCACAGTGGGTAGAAAAAGAAGTTCAACTTGAATTGTGAGCTTTCTTCATCTTTACTCTGTTTTTGACTTTTCTTCAGGTAATTACTGTTTCAAAGCAGGACGTGTTAGTGCGCTTATATTGCCCCCCCCCCCCCCCCTCCCTTCCTCCTCCCTCTTTGTTGCCTCTGCAAGGGTGTGGATAGCAACTTGCCTTCCTTTCTGCCTGCTCATTTAATTCTTAATGTAACCTACCTGAGAGTGGCTGGAGCCCAAGGGTAATGCTGCCATCTCTCTATATTAAACACACAACAGCAGGCGCTTTGCAGCCATGGCAACGTTGCTCTGTGGTACCTGAAGTGATGAGGAGGGCAAGTAAAGGGCTGTTGTCGATTTGAAACCGCCACGGTTTGAGGTGCGATGGATGAGGCTGAGGATGGCGAGGAGGAGCCCAAATTCCTGCAACCTCTTCTATCAACCAGTTTGACTGGAAGCGAGGACCCCTGTGATGATGATGATGGTGGTGGTGGGAGCGGCAGGGGGATCAGGATGAAGGGCTTTTTTACGCTCGGAGGCGGAGTCGCGTTCGCTGCTGCGCGCAAAAACTCCAACAACAACGAGCTTTGGCTCTTTTCAAGCGAGGGCTCCGCGCCTCTGTTGAGCCAGGGGGATGCTGCAGAGTCAGAGCACCGGACCAGAGGGGACACAGCTTCTCAAGGGCCAGTCGAAATGATCTGCAACAAGAACGGGGACTGTAGGAGGGATCCGACCAGCTCGGGGAGCCTGTCTTCTCTCATCTCAAGGCAGGAGAGGCAGGCGGATGGAGCCAGGGAGAGTGAAGACGTAAGGGGGCCGGCTGTGAGCGGGGACGTCTCTGGCCTCTCGGCGGGGCCCCTGACTCAGGGGCCCGGGAGCGAAGTGAGGACCAGCGCAGCTATGGAGAAAAAGGACTCCAGAGTCTCCTTCTCCAGCGCCCCGGCAGGTAAAGGGCAGCTTTCAGGTCCACAGTCTAGAACTTCAGTCGCTTTCAGCAAAGCGGAGGACGGCTCTCAGATAGTTCCGGACGATGGGGACTCCAGGGGGAACCAGACCTACATGCAGAGGCAGTTCAGCTCCATGCTTCAGCCGGGAGTCAATAAGTTCTCCCTGCGCATGTTCGGCAGCCAGAAGGCGGTGGAGAAGGAACAGGAGCGCGTGAAGTCAGCGGGGAACTGGATCATCCACCCATACAGCGACTTCAGGTGCGGACAGATGCCTTCACGAACACTTTTTTTTTTTAGACTCAGTGTTTGTCTGAACAAAGAGACCTCTTTTCATCCAACTTTTGTAAATGTTTTAAACTTGGTTTAGATGTGTGCATTGTTGTGAATGAAATCGAGGCAAATCTCAGAGAACATCGTGAAGTTTGTTTTGGCCCAAAACGTCAAAAAGTCACTTTCAGCACCAAGGACAGCTCCGCCAATTACACTTATAATAAACCAGATTATTAATCCTTTCATGAGACATTTTATACATTTTAAACATTCAAATACTATCAAAATATTATTCGATTACATGTTTACAGCCAATTTATTATTTTAAATGAGAGGTGGTGCTCCAAACCTACGTAATTTCTGTCTTAATTGGCAAAACGGAGAAGGTAATTTGAATAACACATTGATAAAGAAGTCTTCGGGATTGTGCATGGTTTAAGACAAAGCAACAACTGTCATGTCTCCTGAGTTTGGCAAAGGTGTCTGCTTGTGTCTGTCTTACCTCTCATAAACCACTGGACAGAATTTAACCAAACTGGCCAAAATTAATAACTGAAAACACATTTCCAGTTTAACTTTCGGTGTCAATCCCATACATGATGACGTCCACAACTAACTGACCTTAAAATGGTCAAGTTTATAGGTATTCACCTAAAACATTTTGTGTGGTAGAAACTGAGACCGACCCTCAATATCATCTGAGCCATAGTTTTGCATTCAACTATTTAGAGCCAACTCTGGTTTTCTGTTAGCAAAACATCTCTAGAACAACAGGCCAAACTTTAAATAAACTCCTAAAGTAATCATCGGCTGCACAGCTGATTCTCTTTGGAGCCAGTCATTTTAATTAACACACAAATACTGTAACTTGTTGAGTTTAGCACATATTGAGGTCAAATTTGATGGGGTAGTAGATAAGTATTTTACAGCACATACTCTGAGCGTCACATACTGTAATATGGGGCGGCTGTGGCTGAGCGGTTAGAGCAGTCGTCCTCCAGTGCGAGAGCTGGGGGTTCGATTCCACCAGCTGTCACATGTTGAAGCGTCCACTGAACCCCTCATTGCTTCTGATGTTTGCCCCATTGCTGCATGAATCTGATAAAGCACTGATTAGTCTTTGTAAAGATCTAGTAGAGTGCGGTATGAATGAATAAATGAGGGCACAGATTGTAATGCAAAGAGCTTTGAGTATCTTGATCAGATAGAAAGACGCTTTATAAGTACCGTCCATTTAATATTGCATAATATCAAAATGGCGTCATCTTAATCATTAACACACGTCATTCTTGGTTTAAAACTCTGGCATTAAAAGTGGTATATAGACATTTTCTTTTGTTTTAATTAATGATAGGT